AACCCACCATCCCCAGGGAAGCCACTGCTCCCAGGCAAATGTGTCCCTGATAAAGGGATGGGAGAAAAGAGAATAAAACTGACAGATGTACCCAAATCTCAGTGGAGAGCTCAAGCCAGACCAATAAAACCCACGCTAATCAAGCAAATTATGCAACACTTACTTACTTTTGCTGAAAACACAGTGAAATGCTCATTATCTCAGAATTACAGCTGGAAAAGAAAGCCCCAAGAAGGCAGCTCCTGCCATTTCACGTCAAGGACCCTTGACTCCAGCTGTCTGCAGGCAGGGCTGTGTCACACTGGCTGCCCCTCACCGAGCACATCATCACCCTGAGAGTGTCACCCGTGCTGCTGTGACATCCCAGTGCTGTGAGAAGAGCCTGGCACCGGTGTGCCAGCCCTGCCCTGCCTTCCCTCTGTTTGTTGTACTGGCCCTGGGTGCTGAATCCAAGCTCTGCTGCCTTGAGCCCCGGGGAGGAGTGAAGAACACCACAGAGTGAAAGTTCATTTACTAATACCAACAGAGCCACAGATACAAACTCCTTGCTCACGTAGCATATTGCAGCAGAGTTCTGCCAGGCATCAATTCATGTGTTTGGATTTTCCAGTGAGGCTCTACTGCCCAGAACAGCACCTGCTCTTTCCACAGGTGTTTATTTAGCACTGCTTCCCCACTCATTGGATCAATGTAATTTAAGGTCCTCCATTTGCACAAACTTGGCACTGCCTAGAGTACACAAAGTGTAAGCACAATTAAAGCACACACATTTTTCTCTCACTTTCACATATGGGTTACTCTGTCCTTAGTCATGTGTTTCTTCTATTCAGTTTGTTCCCTTCCCTGGTACAGGTTAGTCTGTCTTGCCCTTGTGACTTAGTTTTGTTATCCACAAAGTAGTTTGTTTAACCTCATAAAAACAATGAAATAATACAATACTAAGAAAATTTATGCCCCAAAATTAAGGTATTGAAGAAGTCATACATACCTATAAAAAGGCATTCAGCTATTACAGAGCAGTTATTCAAACACAGGGATTGCTATATGGAAAACTGACCTTCCATGCTGAAAATATAAATGCTAATATACCCCTAAGCAATATATGCCTGTGTAGCCTGCTAAGTGAATTCAAATATTCAATATAAACAGGGTAGCTGCAGTCTCTGAGTGATCATTACCTTGAGAAACAGCGTGTTTTTATTCAAACACAACCTCAGAGAGAAACAGCCCTTCCCTCCCTCACTCTGAAGAGACGAGGTGTGTGTCTGTCAGGAACAAAGCAAAACTAATGTGCACCGTGGCACCCTGACCTGAGACACAATTACAAGGTGCACCACAGAAAAAAAAAATAAAAGAGAGAAAGTCCCTGCAACTTCAAAGAGCACATTTGTGTGTGTGAAATACAAAAACACATTTGCTGAAAGATGTCTAAGGCTCCCATTAAGCAATTATTTAATCTCCAGGTGACAGAGAATGTTTTCCTGGTTATATGAAAGAAAGAAAGAAAGGACAGCAGGGAGCACAGAATAGCTGCAAAAGCCATTACTGGCAATAATCCAGAGTAAGATCTGAGCAGCCCGAGCATCCTGAGCTATCCTGGGGGATTCCCACAGTGCTCTTCCTCCAAAGAACAGCTCTGGGTCCATTTCCTACAGGGAAGGAACCAGGACTTGTCTGTGGAGCTGCAGCAAACAGCAAAACTTACATCACTCTCTGAGAATTTCCAGCTCAACTTTCAACAAAGTTAGGGAGAAATCTGAAGGGAGAAGTTGGCAACAGGGAGCAGCAGGAAAGAGATGACTGGGCAAGGAAAAGGCAATTTGAGTAGGAAGTTGATTAACATGAAGTGACACATGAAGTGAATTGGGCAAAACCAATTCCAAACACACAGCCCAGGAAGTGGAGCTGATTATTCCCAACGCAGAAAGACAGTGCTGTGCAAATGTCAGTTTTCCATGCTGCATTCACAGGAATAACTAGGATATTGGGGAAGAAATAAAAAAACAAAGTCAAAGATATTAAATCATGGTATAAATATGTGAAACTCAGGCCCTGGCCCTACTCTTTTCCTGTCTGGACAGCAGTGTGGTGTGAGTGGCTGCATCTCCAGAGCACCTCAGAGCTCCTACAGCCATATCCTTCTATTTTTCCTATTAGCATCACAAACACAATGGCATTACCAATCCCAGAAAAACTGGGAGATCCTTCAGAGGACAAATCACATGAGCACCTCGTGTGCCTCATTAATACTGCTAACACAATAGGAAGCAACCTGAAACAAGCATCAACACTCAGTGCAAACACTATCAGCTGTTAATAACCTATTAGCAGCACAATTAGCAAATTGGATATTCCTGCTCATTATTGTTCCATTTGCAAACAATATTTTGAACAGATTAGAACATCACCTTATCAGTAGAAGTCCCATCTGAGATGTAATATTTTCAATCAAGAACTTACCAAATTTCCCCATAATGCACTGAGGTTAATTTTTAAATTTCCTAGAAGCTCTGAAAACCTGGCATCCATCGTGACATCATTTCGTAAAGAGGAAATTTTTTTAAAAAAAACTCATTTCTCTTTTCCCCAATAAAGACCAATTCCTAGGAGCCTACCAACACCCATTGTGCTTTGTTGCCAGCTTTGCTGAGGTTTTTTCTCTTGGTCTGGGCTCACCCCAGCCCTGCTCAGAGAGCAGCAGTGGGAATCTCCTGGCATTGTTCCAAGAAGAATCTTACCCTGTTAAAAGCTTTGTCTTTGCAGTCACACTCTGCAAAGCCCACACAGTACAACCTCCACTGTGCAAAAATGTCCTTTATCCATTCTTAGCCAAACTTCAAACCCAAATTTCATCTTCAAATTCCAGCTTGCATCTCTTATGGTGCAGAGCTCAATGAGCGATGGTTCCCAGCTTAATCCACCACCTTCATGATACTGCAGCATATTTTTCCTATTGGAAAAGTCTTTCCTTGAGCATCAGGTACTCATCAAATACAGACTTCAAAAAATAAAAAAAGAGAAAATTTTTCACTCATATGGACTGCACTTTATAAATTGCTTTATAAACAGCACTTCAAGTGGGTTGGGATTTTTTCCTTGGGAAAAAGTGCATGTCAATGCTGTGGCTATGACAAACTAAAACCTAACTTAAAGATTTTTTTTCCATAATAAAATTTATCATAAATAGTTGCTTATTGAGAGATTACAATAGAATAAACGGTTTACAAGAAAAAAAGTTTAAAAATCCAGATTTCAAACTGAAAAGCTAAAACTACTGTGTAGGTGTCAAGCAAGTTTTTAATTTTAAAAAGAGACAAAGTAATTTTCAAAGCAGAAGTTGACAGACTGGAGAGAAGCTGAAATACTGAACAGCAGTTTCATAAACAATTCAGTTGAAGCCAAGTGCTAAGAGGGCAAGGAAGGAAACAAATAAAAACAGCAATTGCACCAGCATTGTGGAGCAAGGCTTGGGTTAATGATTACACTGATATGGAGTATAAATGATGGGAAGCTTTTATTTAGATTACACTTCACAGGACCATTTCACACTTCCAGCTGATCAGTAAGGAAATGTTGGTATGTGAAGATCTCAGTAGGATATTATATTCAGTTTAGGTTAAAAATTATAGACTCTTAGTGTCAACAAATATCAATTAAATGAATATACTACTGCACATGTCATTTTGTACTACACAATAGCCTCCCACTCTGAATAAAAGTCACAAGCATGAGCAAGCCAAAAAAATTCAATATGCATTTTCTCCTAAAAAGGTATTACTGAGAGCCAAACTGCTGCATTCAGCATGATATGCACTGTATTTTGTCCCCTCTAGTTTGGCAAGTAAGGGAGCATTGCAAAAAAGGGAGCAACACATAATTTGATGAGTTTAATTTGATGAAGTTTAATACCTTCTTTGTCAATCTGAAGTCTCATGGGAGGAAAGTTTCAGAGTAAGCCTCAAAGTTTTAGCCCAGCTTTGTTGACAAAAGAGAAAGTCATATCAAACAGGTGGATTACCACAGGAGAGAAAATTTCAAGGTAATGTTTAAGTTTTCAGTTGAATTTTGAAAAAGGTTCCTTTTTCTTTTTTGTGCTTTAAAACATAAGAAGGTGTTTATTTCAGGAACTCATTAAAAATGAAGATCACATCCTCTATAGAAGGGGAAGTTGAAAAGCCACCAGCACTGTGATATACAGACATCTGGGATTAAAAATATAATTCCCTGGAAAACAAAGAGACAGAGCCCCATGATCCAGCTCCATGGGATATCAGGCACTGCACTGACATCACACAGATGTGTGAGAAATATCACTCTCCTCAGGAGGAGAACAGGGAATACAGTGTTATTGGGATGTCATAGGGAGGGAACAGAAAAAAGAAGAAAAAAGCAAAACACTGCCTTGGACTGTGTTTGTGTATTAGTCTTTTAGAGACCTTGACATATTTTCTTCCATGTGGCATTTAAGGGCAGCTCTCTGCATTAACATTTGCAGTTTTGAAGTCTGAATATTGGCATAAATAACCAACTTCAGCAGAGCTGCTGACAGCAGCTGAGGACCTCCAAGTAGGGAAAATAAACCCTTTGGTTCCTCAAATGTTTTCCCTGGGTTCTAAAGTGTAAAAAATTCACTTGGCTTTATCCTGCACGTTCAGTTTCCTTGACTGACAGGCAAAGTGACATTCACAGTGACACACTTTTCAGACCTGACTGCACAAGTGCAAAGGCCAGAGGAAAAGAAGCAGAATTTGCCAGAAGTTAAGCTGCTCCATGATAACATTTTCAAATATTCATTTAAGGTGATCTTTACTATGAGGCAAATATTATCCTGATGGCAAAGTGGTGTACATTACAACACATAAAAAATGGTGAACTCATTTAGTTTTGCAGAAAACAGGGAAAAACCATCATCCACAGTGTGAGACCAGTCCTGTGGGGTGAAAGGCCAGGAGGAATATGCAATGCTGACCCTGAAATGGCTTTTCCCCCTGTGACCTCACCTCTGTGCCCATGGGCAGAGCAGCTCCAAAGGCATTCCACAGGGACAGGCCTGCTCCTCTGTCCTGGTGGGATGGTGCCTTCCAATGGGGAGAGAATGGATCCAAGGGGATGGAACAGGGCTGGAAGCAAAAAGCAAGGAAATCATTATATGTCTGTGAACTGCTGACTTCCCAAGTAGCTTCCAGGCCCATTTCAGAGAGATGATGATGGCAAGAACAGCTCCATTCCTTCCCTCAGGAACCCACAGCTGGCACATTCTGCTAATCCTAATAGGAATTACATCCTTAAAACCTACAGCAGACAGGGAGACAACCCTATCTACCAAAAACTGCCCTTCTACTTGAAACTTTTCATCTTTGCCAGGTCTGCCCCAAGGAGGGTAACACAGGGGAGGTGAGCAGCAGCAGCAGCAGGAAGGGATATCATCTGGCTTATATTTTGCAGGCTGTAGCACGCTTCAGAAAACCCTATCCCAGTATTTCCTGGAGAAGACAGAAATTGTCCAGTCCACTGCACTGATGGCAGCATCATTAAAGCAATGCATAGAAACAAAACTCATAGCAATGGCTACACTCAGTCCTGTCCTAGGAGGATGGTGTCTCTTTGGATAGAGATCATCCAGAAGCCAGGATGTGTTCACACAGCCAGGGTCCTTTAGAGTGTGCTTCAGACCCTGCTGTCAGCAGCAATGGCCACAGACATCAACACATGCCAGGCTAAATTCAGGGGCCAAACTGCTGAGCTTGCTCCAGCAGTGCCATGCTCTGGGGAGCTCTGAGAGGAAAGCAGCTGGTCTGAAAGACCTGCTGGAAGATTTCCACTGGCCACTCACCTGCCTGGTTAAAATTTACTCTTTCTGGAAAGCTCTAAGCTGAAAGGATGTGCCCTGGGAGTAATCCAGAGGCTGGAAAGTGGCACAGGTTTTAATACACTCCATTTTCAATCAGATCCAGAGAGGAGGTGACAGTAGGGGCAGGTGTCCCCATTCTTCCCCATCTGCAGCATGGCAGAGGGAAAGACTCAGGTGGGAATGTTCTGTGGTGGAGGAACTCAGTGCACTGGATTTTGATAATTGAAAAACATCTTCATGTGTGACAGTAGAACATTTGAAAACAGCAAAGAGATGGAAAAGTGTTGGTACACATCAATTTTAATCAAAACGTGACTTAACTGAAAGTCAGCATGGTTCCCAGTGACACACCCCATTCACATCACTCTCTTCCCCTGAAAAAGCTGCTTTCAAAGTATATAAGGAACATCAACATAATTCATTACCAGGCCACTGCACATCACAGCTTCTGCCATCAGCCCTCATTTAATATTGGCTTCATGGGATCTGTGCTCAGCCTTTTCTCATCACTAAGGCTTCTTCTTGTACCCAGAAGAGTCTCATTTCAAATTATTTCATTGTATGCCTTGTTTAATTGAAGATTTTGGTGAAAAATGACGTTGGAGCTAATGTATAAACACACCATCAGTAACACCTCAGGCTACCAAGACGTAGGTCCAGCTTCCTTAGTAAAAAAATACTGAGACAAAACTTTAAAATATTCCCCAGGAGGGGAGAATCTTTTACACCTAAGGCAACAGCAGAGATTTTAAGGGGCAAAATTGAGTGACTTTTACAGCTTAATGAAGAAAGAGGACCAGTTCAATCAGAAATGCAGGAAGCCAAAAGGTAGCATTTGGAGTAGAGCTAAATTTGGGAGAGCATTTTATATTTGTTACACGGCTGGGAAACACAGACATCAATAGTTTTCCACTAGAAATGGAGATTCTTCTACCAGCAGGATTAAATATGTGGCATTTTAAGGACTTTTTCTAACACTTGTTGCCTTTTCCACTGCAAAAAAATTCTCCCTGTTTATGAATAACTCTTGGTCATTTCTCCATCTCTACTTCTCCTTTTCTTTAATATCTGCCCTCTTTCTTTCTTTACTTCCCCTACATTTTTCCCTCAGTACTCTGCTTGGGCTTCTTTCCAGCTGCTATCACCAGCTATGAGAAATTATCCAGGAACAGATCTCCCTACCAGGCACAGCAACATGAAAGTATCATCTGCAGAATTCAAACTATTCAAGAGTTGCACAGTCTCTTCTCACATCCCCAGGTAAAATTCATTACAGTGGAATGGCTGGATGATTTGAAATATTTATATTGACACAATAATGCAAATTAAAGGAGGAATATCTTGATAAGACATCAGATTAAGGACTATTGAATGTATTCTCTGTTACACTCCGGTGACTGAACTTTGAATTCAAAGCTTAAGATGTTGGTTTCACAGCTTCAGAGTTTAACTAACTGGTTTTCTGAGGTTCACTTTCAAAATTTACTTAGAGTAAGCATCATCTCTTTGTAATTGACAGGATGTTAGTCCCAGAAGTGTATTTCCAACTGCACTCTAAAATTACAATTTTCGCCTGTTGTCACTGCTGATATTTTGTCAGTAAAGTTTAATTAAACAAAAGCACTCATGCACTGTGAATCTGAAATTGCAGTGATGAGCTGGTGCATGAGGTGAAGTGTAATGGTGCTGCCAAAACCCAGATCAGCAATATTCAGAACCCAAACACAGGAATGTAAGGGCTCCATTTCTGACAGCCAGCCTGCTCAGTCCCACTCTGTTTTGGAGAGGAGGGAGCTCGGCACGTGGGAGGGAGCTGTGCCTTTTGGCCCTGGGGATGGAGCAGAGCCACTGGCCTATTTTCCTGAGCTGTGGAGGCAGTCACAGTCTCTGGTGCCTATAGAGTGGTGCTGGCACAAGGCTGGCTGCACAGCTCAGCCCATTGCCCAACCATGCACAGCTACCAAAATCCTCCTGGGTGCTCCCGGTGTGCCGAGCACAATGCACGTTCCTCACATGCTACAGCAGGAGAATCCGTGCTCAGGAGTGAACACGGCTGCACTGCCCTCTCCTGCTCCTCCTCTCCACCGTGTCTCATGGCAGACTCACGACTGACACAAGCACCAGCTCCTTATTGTCTTAAAAACCCTCATACCTGTCTCTCTGTGAGCTTCCCACGGGCAGCTCCACACAGCACTGACTCTTTCTCTCTTCCTTCTACAGGGCTAACTAACTCCTTCCTACCCCTAGCACAAACACCTGACCCATCCTCCTCACAGCAGGACCAGCAGACTCCAACCCTTGGCTATCTAACCCAGTCTTTTACAATATCCATCATCACTGTGACCTACTAAGGGGCAAGGCTGCTCCCACTCTTTGGTAATTAGTACAGCTGCAATTTATCAGGGGCAAGATCGCCTTCAGCACTATCTCTATTCTCTTATAATCCATCCTCCCACGAGTGTCCTAACTGGTTTCTAAAAAAATTTTTTTTTTTGGTTTTTTTTTTATCTAAGTGGGAGATCATACACCTTTGACTTTTAACACAAAAATTCATTAGAAGCAGTGCTGAGTGTGAAATATATCTCAGGCATCAGACAGCTGCTTGTGTCCTAGCATAGAAACCAAAATGCTTTTTCAAATATCACTGGATCTTCAAGCTGATCCACAGTTTGCCATACGTTTTATCTTGCTGTTTACATCTTTCATTTGTATCAACAGAACTGCTGCACACTGTTCTTCCCTCCTTGAAAGCAGGGACATGTTAAAGCTGCTACACTGAATAGCAGTGGCACTTTCTCTTTGCTCCCAAGGGATTTTATGTTTGTAACCACAGCGTAACAAATCCAGCAGCACACGGGGTTTGCAGCACTGCTGTTAATCCTGCTTCCAAAGCTTTCCCAGGCAGGAGAGCCCTTACACAGCCTGGCATGTGATCCAGGGTTACCCCGTGCTGGCTCCCGGACTCGCTGACTTGAAGGCAGCCTATTAAAACAAGCCCCGAGTTCTGGGCAAGCCATGCATAGCAAAGGCGCATTCCAGGCCCTGGGTTTTTAACGGGAATTCGCGCTCCTCTGCTCATCCTTAAACGCGCAGCGACTCCTCCGCCAAAACGAGGGCAGTGACAGTGACCCCCGCAGCAGGGAAACCGAAATCCAGGAGCAGCTACAGAGCTCTGTGCCAGGG